AAGTTCATTATCACAAACAAATGGCAGTCCAATGGTAGGACTCAGTCCTGGAAAAAAAAATGAGAAAGTGGGAAATTATCAAATGTGTTCCCTTGAGGAAAAACTGTAACTGGACAGACGCCCCATTTCCAGCACGTCACCATTTCTCCTCTGGTGCTCTTATTCTCAAGCCCTTGCTCTGCACCGTCTCCCCATCTAACCCCAGGACAAGGTCTATAGAAGGAACATGGGGGCACAAAAGAGGCAGTAAATACGTCCTCAAGGTCATCTACAGAATAAGGATATGCAAACACCCTAAGGTGTAATCAGATCAGTTCAAACTGGGGTGGGAGAGCCCCCGAGCTCACTCCCCAAACCCAGACAAGCAATTCGTGAGGAAGGACGGTCCTATGGCTTTAAGGACCTGGCACTGGCTGCGCTCCCACTGACCACGCAAATCCTCCAACCCAGACACCTGCTGCGATCCAAGTCCCTGGAGGTCCGCACTCCGGGCTGCGTCTCGGGGCCGGCACTTCCCCGAAACAGCAGGGCACCTTCGTCTCGCACCTCATCCGGGTGTACGCAGTCCCCCTCCTCCCGCCCTCCCAGCCTCTTGCAGGCGCAGTGCAGCTGTCGCTCACCCTGTGATCCCCAAGATCCCTCCCGGCAGCGACCCCGGCAGCTCCCCGGTAACGAAGCAGACACCAGCCCACACCCGGCGGCCTGGGGCCCGGCACACCAGTCATTCGCAATTCAAGTGCCCCCGCCTGGCTCCACCCACCCCCACGTTGGTCCTCACCTGGAGAGAATCTTCGACCAATCGGCGCCCGCAGACTCCAGGGGGCGGGGCTCCAAGAGGACTCGCTGACGCAGGCTCCCCGAGGAGGACGGCGCTGTGAAGGGGAAAGAGAGCACGTTCCCAAGTTTCCCGGCACCGTGGAGGTTGGTTGCATCGTTGCCCGGCAACTAAGAAGGCTGGGGGCGGGGTTTGTGGAAATCTGCGTCTTTTTTTTGCATACTCTCGCGAGAGTGGATGGAGCTGTCTGGAGAGGGTGTGACTTTGAAGACACAACTTTGGGAAGGTTAACCCTTTCCACCTTGAGTCTACGTGTTGAGCTGGTTCTCAACCTGTGGGTCGCGACCCCTTTGGCGGTCCAAGGACTCTTTCACAGGGGTGGCCTAAGACCATCCTGCATTTCAGATATTTACATGACGATTCATAACAGTAGCAACATTACAGTGATGAAGTAGCAACGAAAATAATTTTGTGGTTGGGTCACAACATGAGAAACTGTATTCAAAGGGCCAGAAGGTTGAGAACCACTGGCTTAGGGTGTTTGCATATCTTTCTCATAGGCCAGACTTTCTAAATTAAGAAAACCAACTCATTGCTGAGCCTCGAGCTTCTCTGGACCCATCCGCATATGCCAGTGGACCGCTACCACCTGCATCACCCCCTCCGACCGCCCACACTATGCCTTCTGCTCGGGTCATCTTGAAGAACCAAAGAGGAAAACGGCTCCAGCAGGAAAACGGGTCCTGAACGGCGTGAAAAGATTCAAAGGTTACCCGTAACTTACGCAGAGGTGGAGGTGTTTGCAGGGGAGGTGAGTTTGCGCATCTCAAGGACACTTTCCACGTGCGCTTGATGCTCGACTCTGTTGATCGCAGGTCTGGGCTTACTGCTGTTAAGGGGATGGAAAGCGAACAATGAGTGTGGATTTCTTGCAAGAGAGGTAAACTCAGCGATGTCTTTATTTCTCCTTCGGCTGGGGGTTGAAGTCTTCCTTCAGAAATCTCATAGTGAAGCCCTATTACAATGCCCAGTCTATGAGAGCTGCCCGCTGTGACTCTATAACTTTATCCATTCGGCAGTTATTGGCTGAGCATTTATTTGCTGGACACAGCCGTTGGTTCTAGGGATGTAGGGTTGAAAGGGGTCACATAACCTCGCATTATCACGTTGCTGTGAAGTTCAGTGGTTATGGGTCCTTGACACCCCGCCCTCTCTTCTGATCACAGTGCTTGTCACACGGAAGGCAGGAAGGGAACCATCTTCCTGTTTGTGTACTCGGGGCCTGAGCTGGAATGTGGGTGACACACACAGGTCCTCCTCGTTCCTTCTCCTCCGCATGCTGCCACCCCCTCCCTGCAGGTGGCAATTGCCCTGGGGCCGAGGGCAATGGCCCAGCCTGAGTCTGACCTCATACTGAGCTTTCTGATGTGGCCAATGGACGTTTGCAGGTGACAGCCTCCTGCAGGTGGAGAGGCCAGTCACCCCTCAACCTCAGTGAGTCAATGTTTGCCGCCGCCATGAGTCTATTCCTGCGCCCCTGGTTATTTTCGGCCGGTCCTTTGACTCACTGACCATGCTTGGCATTCATTTGCGTGCTGAACCATGATTCTCTTTCTCCCGGTGTAGTTCGCAAGCCCCAATTTAATAATTCCCCGACCTCAAGTCAGTGCAAGACGACATTCCAATGTACTGGATTCAGGAACTCCTTCCCCGCCCTCTCGCCTTGAGCATATATGCGGCCGATTTCGAGGGCACCTCACTCGACCTACAGGTAGCAAGACCTTTTGTTCTTTAGAAATACTGATACATCTTCACCCTTCGGCTCCCGAAGAGGCGGGAGGAGTGGGGAGTTAGCTGTCCCTTTAAGAGAACTCGCTCTGCTTCAAAGACTGAAACGAAGCTGCGCCCAAGTGTCGCGAAAACGGTAGCCGCCCGCGAGTTCTCGCGATGTTTGGCCCGGCGAAGGGTAGCCATTTTGGAGTCCGCGCGGAGGCTGAGTGCCCCGGCGGCGTCTGCCATCCTGCTGCCGGGACCAAGGCCGGCCCCGCGGCTGTCAGGTCCATGGGTGGCCGGACCGACACGATGTGGCGGCTCCGCTGCAAAGCCAAGGACGGCACCTATGTTTTGCAGGAGTTGTCCAGCCGGACGCGGGTGCGGGAGCTCCAGGGCCAAATTGCTGCCATCACGGGGATCGCCCCGGACTGTCAGCGAATCCTCGTGGGATACCCACCCGAGTGCCTGGACCTCAGCAATGGGGACGCCATGCTGGGGGATCTGCCCATCCAGTCAGGTAAGGGCGTCGGGGCTGGGGGAAGCCCTGGGAGGATGGCCAGGGCCGTGCGGGAGAGCACACAGTAGAGGCGCGGCGGCTGCGGGCCGGCCCAAGCTTTGAGGACCCGGCTGCGGGCAGGTGGAAGCTGGAGAACTCGGGTGGAGACCGGGACGCGCTGAAGGAGACAGGGAGGGCCCAGCCCCTGCAAGAAGCTCCGAGCCTTTGAGTTCCCCTCTTCCTCCATCTGCTTTCTAGTCTGTCTGGGAAACGTCTCATTCATTTTGTTTCCCCTCGGCATCCACAAAGGCATGCATTCAGTCGGACCTATTTTCTCCGTCCTGATGGTCCTTGCGCCCTGTACCGCTGAACGCAGATGGCAGGTCTCAAGGAGGCGGGGTGCTTGTTTTGCTTGCTTCCCTGGTTTGTTTTTGCGATTACCTTCCTGTGCATATACTGCCCTGGGCAGGTGTCCTCGCTGTGGCGCTTGCCTGTGCACAGCCCCTGAAGGGCCCATCAAGTTCTAAGCAGCAGCAGCAGCAGCTGTTTCTGTCCAGCGTGGAACCTGGAATAGCAACCTTGATCCTGAAGGGCTTCCCGCGGTTGTATCTGGGATCCTGTAAACAGCAAACAGCTGGGTAACTTTCAGGGCGAGGGGGGCCCCCTAGTGGTCCCGACGATGATGAACAGCTGGTGGAAGATGTGCGCTTGTTAAAAACAGAGAGCAAACAAGCATAAAGACATTTTGTTCTTGAGATGTCACTTTTCAGGAAACTATGAAGGTGCTTAGCCCAGGCCCCTTCTCAGAGTTGGGGTGCAACCTAAGATGTTCTGGGTTTTTGTTGGTCTTGAACCTGATGAAATTCAGTTGAACCAGCAATATTATTAGCAGGTGGTCACTTGTTTGCCAAGCTGGGTTCTCCCTGCTGACCCCAGCTTATACTTTAACTCCTTCTGTTTCTGATTAACAGACTTGGCTAGTGAACTCCCCCAGTTTTGTCCCCGCAGTTCTGGATTTGTGTTCTTTCTTTTTTTTTTTTTTTTAAACAGGCGACATGCTGATCGTTGAAGAAGACCAAGCCAGGCCCCAGGCCTCACCTGCGTTTACCAGACATGGTGCTTCTCGTTATGTCAGGGAAACGGTGCCCGTGCTTACCAGGACCGTGGTCCCGGCAGACAACTCTTGCCTCTTCACCAGTGTGTACTACGTTGTTGAAGGAGGGGTCCTGAACCCAGCCTGTGCCCCTGAGATGAGACGCCTCATAGCACGCATTGTAGCAAGCGACCCAGATTTCTATAGCGAAGCGATCCTGGGGAAAACCAATCAAGAGTACTGTGAATGGATCAAAAGGGATGACACGTGGGGAGGAGCCATTGAAATATCGATTTTGTCTAAATTTTACCAGTGCGAAATTTGCGTGGTGGATACACAGACAGTAAGAATCGACCGTTTTGGGGAAGACGCAGGCTATTCCAAAAGGGTCCTGCTTATATATGATGGCGTCCACTATGACCCGCTTCAGCGTAACTTTCCCGACCCCGACACCCCTCCGCTGACCATTTTCTCCTCTAATGATGATATCGTTCTGGTACAAGCACTGGAGTTAGCAGATGAAGCCAAAAGGAAGAGACAGTTTACGGACGTAAACCGCTTCACCCTGCGATGCATGATATGTCAGAAGGGGTTAACTGGACAGGCAGAAGCAAGGGAACATGCCAGAGAGACGGGCCACACCAACTTCGGCGAAGTGTGATCGCTGCGTCATGAGGCTTGACCCCCGACTACCTCACAGATCCAGAAGGTTCTGGGTTTTCCAATAAGCTACTCATAACCTTAAAGACACCATGCTTGAATCATCCTTTTAACTTAGAACCACGAAGGCACTGACATTCCTTGTTAAGATTAAAATTAGTGTGCACGTTTACAGATGTGTCTACAGCGGTGATACATGCCCTCTTCCTGCTGGGGTGACCGCATAGGCGGTCCTTTCTACCTGCCGGCACTAACCTGAAGATTGAGTGTTCGCTTTCTGAGTTAGCACCCAGCAGCACTCACGTGTAGAAGAAAACGGCTGCCCGTTTGGGGTAAAGCGGAAGGCTTCGTGTGAGGCCTCTGGACGGAAACCACAGTGTCTCCAGTAATTGCGTCCTTTTAAAAACTCTTGTGTTAATAGTGTCTAAATTATGAATTGATTCCTCAAAAGAAGATACACCGACTTGTCAAAACTGATTTTATATTGCAATTTGGTAGACTTTATACATGTGTACCTAACCAGTCACAAGTACATTACAAGCAATCTTTACAGGGCTGTGTCTTTCCCTGAGAATGTTACCTAAAAAACAAACTGCTGGTGCCCACTTGAGGATCCTTAGGGTGTAAAGGAGAATGTATGAGGGGAAAGGTGCCTGAGCAGCTTGCTGAAGCTTTAAAAGACCATTGGCCTCGTGTTTTAATGCAACTCATTTATTAATCTTTGTCACATTGGATACATTTTAGTTAAGCAGGGTATTTTTTAACAGAAGTACCATGAAATTTGAATGCTTGAATTTTGCCTTTTTACGTAAAGATTTGAAGGGATTTAATTTCCTCAGCTTTTTGTTAAGAGCACTTCCTCCAACTCCTAAAAAAAAAAATCTTTATCTAAAGTGCTAATGATTATGCTTTGGATTTTGTGAGAGCTTTTGCTTATCTAAACATTATGTTTT